GGGACGGTACTATCACCCTTGCTCTTCACTCTCTACACCTCTGACTTCAGGTACAAGTCCCAGTCATGTCATCTGCAGAAATTCTCTGATGACTCTGCCATTGTGGGCTGTATCAGGGACGGTCAGGAGGAGGAGTACAGGGGCGTGGTGGACAGCTTTGTCGAGTGGTGTAAGCTAAACCATCTACAGCTCAACATCACAAAGACAAAGGAACTGGTCATAGACTTCAGGAAGCATCCTTCTCCTCCTACCCCTGTCACCATCAGAGGGGCTGATGTGGAGATTGTGGAGGACTACCGGTACCTGGGGGTTCACTTGGATTGTAAGCTGGACTGGACCAAGAACACTAATGCTGTCTTTAAAAAAGGACAAAGTCAGCTTTTCCTACTGAGGCAGCTCAGGTCCTTTAATGTTTGTAGGAAAATGCTGACTATGTTCTATCACTCTGTGGTAGAGAGTGTCGTGTTCTTTGCAGCTGTGTGCTGGGGCAGTGGGTTGAAGACAGCTGATGCCAAAAGGCTGAACAAGCTAGTTAAAAAGGCTGGTTCTGTCCTGGGTGTGAGACTGGAGAACTTGGTAGAGGTGTCTGAGAGGAGAATGCTGAAAAAGCTTCTTTGTATTATGGACAACCCCTCTCACCCCATGCACGCCGCCATGATGGACCAGCGAAGCACACGCAGCAAAAGACTGATCGCCTCAAAATGCAGAACTGACCGCCACAGGAAATCCTTCGTACCGGTGGCAATAAGACTGTACAACTCCTCCTCACTCTGTAGGTGATTTCCCAAGGACTGATAACAAGCTCAATGTTTGTTTTTCTTCTCACCATCATATGCTATCATATGCATCATATTCTGCACAATATTAGGACACTTTAATATCACCACAGATAAGCTATTTATTTTTCTCAGGATACATACATCGTTACTACTTCGAGCCACTTGATATTATTTTTGCATTATCCTATTGTATATTATTGTAAAGTAACATTCTTATTGTATATATTGTATTTTCTTATTTCTTAGATATATATATTCCTATTTCTTATATTGTATGTATATCTCTGTCTCTCTTACTGCACTGAGCATGTGTATGACAAAAGAATTTCCCTCGGGATAAATAAAGTTCTTCTTATCTTATCTTATCTTATCAAATGATAACTGAAAATATAAAAACTAAAAAAAATGTAAAAATCAAAATCTGAAATGAATGACCATCTTAGAGTGTAGCACAGTGACCGTTATGCATTACCCACTGGAGGGCAATGCAGTGACCGTTATGCATTACCCACTGGAGGGCAATGCAGTGACCGTTATGCATTACCCACTGGAGGGCAATGCAGTGACCATTCAGCATTACCCATTGGAGGGCAATGCAGTGACCGTTNTGGAGGGCAATGCAGTGACCGTTATGCATTACCCACTGGAGGGCAATGCAGTGACCATTCAGCATTACCCATTGGAGGGCAATGCAGTGACCGTTATGCATTACCCACTATCGCTCCCAGATTAGTCCCTTGCCTTATATGCTACACAGCCTGCTCCCCAACAGATACATACCCACTGTCTCCTCAGGCTGCAAATCCTCAACGAGTTCTGGGAAAAAACAGGCAACCAAAACTATAATATCACTATAATTATGGGTAAGTGCATGCATGCATTATTAGGTGGGTGTGTTCATCTGCATAAGTACACATATACCTACCAGACCTTTGCGTATACTGTGCATGCAGACCAGAGTGCATGCATGCATCTGTCCAACGTTAATACTGACCTGCTTCATCTGTCTGACTGCCATCCAATGACACGTCACTATCCACCGAATGTGCTGCAAATCAAAGAGGAAGACGGTTTGAGCCACAATTCACCACATAAGCCATGCTGTCTGCTATGCTCACCAGAATCTGACTTGATTACCGAAATGCACCATGGGGGAAGGAGACATTTGTGCTTCTGCAAAGGTCAAATGTAACCATTCAGCATTACCCATTGGAGAGCAGCGCAGTGACCGTTCAGCAATACCCATTGGAGAGCAGCGCAGTGACCGTTCAGCATTACCCACTGGAGAGCAGCGCAGTGACCGTTCAGCATTACCCACTGGAGAGCAGCGCAGTGACCGTTCAGCATTACCCATTGCAGAGCAGCGCAGTGACCGTTCCCAGATTAGTCCCTCACCTTAAATGCTACACAGTCTTCCCCCTAGCACATACATACCCACTGTCTCCTCAGGGTGCAAATCCTCAACGAGTTCTGGGGGGGAAAAAAAACAGGCAATCAAAACATGAAAAAATTGCCCACTCAGTGGGCAATTTATTAGGTGGCCCTCTTACGGTAAACAGCCTGATCTTCTAAACAGCCAATTGTGTGGACACAACTGCACACAGACATGGTCGAGAGGCATAATATAATTACTGCCTCAGTGTCGGACCATGCATCCTAACCATTCTGATTTTGAACACTGTTTGATTGTTGGTGTCAGGCAAGGATCTTCTTAAGATTTTGTAGTCTAAGGGGGCCCAGCACTTGAGAGGGGGCCCACATTCTTCCATAAAGCAAATTCTACCATAGGGGACCCCTGGACACTCATTACACCCATATTAACTGAGCATTATTTGAATGTGAAGCTTTATCGCTAAGCAGGTGACCCCCTGTCACAGGCATGTGGCCTTTCTCCGCGCGGACATGTACTGCAGGAGAGATGCCTGCATAACCTCAAGGTGGCCCCGGCAGTGCGATAGGACTTTACTCCAATGGCCTACACAGTCCTCACATCCCGACAGAGCAACCTTCAATTTGAGGTGGCAGAGGAAGTGTGCAGCAAGAAGGTATGACCAAAATAAATCTGCAATTACTGCCTGACATTATGGGTGTAAGCATGGATCAAAACCCCCTACGAAAATATTTGACATCTTGCCTAATTCATGCAAAGTACTCACGATGTTTTGGAGGCTAAAGGGGATCTACCCCCCCACCACCAAAAAAGACCAGTGAGTATACATATAGCTCAAGACAATATTCTGTAGATGTTGATGTAACTATATTAAACACCCATCTACATGCATAACTTAAGTTGTTTTGAAGATGAGATCTTTACTTGTCCTACCCATTACCTATCTGCAAAAAGAGCTGAAGATCATCCTTATATAAACTTACCCCCCCTTGTGTCGATTGTATCTTCTATGTGGTCCTCTGCAGGATATAGATCAGACACACACATGAATATAATAGAATAAACAATGTGCGTATTTCTTTGGTGCAAAATCATCAAATCACTGTCAACAGCATCCCCAGAATTAGCCAGCCCTACCGAGCTAAATGACCTAAATGACCAGCTACTATCTGTACTGTTTTGTTATACTCTATTGTTTTACACTGTCATTAGTGTCTTAGTAACAGACCGTGGCTGAGCGATTAAGCATTTCAAAGCACCTGTTGCACATGGCCAATAAAGAATCTTGAAATCTTAAGCCACACTCAATGATGCATTAAAATAATCAACTTTAATGGTTGCCCTGAACGAAGGTGAACTCTATTCTTCAAGTCTGCAGCTTGAGTAGTTGACGGATAGCATAAGAGGATAACGAACCTGAGTCAGGTATGTCCTCCTCAACCTCTGGAAGGGGTACTGCTGCTACAATGACAGTTAAGGAAGGTAGGGGGTTGAATATAACACGGTAGAGAGTACATGCGTAGCAGCAGATTATGGGATGGACAAATGGAGGGTCAAACTGACGCTGTTAGTACAATGGGGTCAAGACATGGTGCACATGGCTTAAAGACAAGGACACTCAACAGGAAAGTGGAACGAGAAGCAGCGATGCTCAGCTTGAGTAGCTTAAACAAAGACGACACTATCACCACGCATCTGACAGTCTACAATGGACCATAGTTTGCACAAACCTTGGATTTCAGATTCCACATCCATGTTCTGAGATCCATGGACTGTTACAAGCAATGAAACCACAAAAAAGGTTAGGGGGGCAACTACTTTGGTCCCAGGACGCAGTATAATCAAGAATCAGAGAATGAGCTCACCGTCATTGACATCCTCAGAGTCCTCAACAGCATCTGCAAATACAATCAGCAGGAACTCAAACGATACTCTTAGATACCTTTGTAGAGCAATAAATTAATGAATAAATGCTTCAAATTTGACAACGTTACAACGTTGAGTAATGCGCTTTAAAAAAAAACCTTGGATGTCTGTTTCTTCGTCTCTTGGAAGGTGTTCTGTGTGCAAAGATAGCACACAAAAAGTTAGAGCAAATATTTGTCAAGGCCATTTATGACATGTAAACACCCATGCATAACGACCTCTCATCTGAAGCCTTACCTTCAAACAGATAGTCATTCCCAGCCTCGATGACCTCCGCTTCTGTGACATAAGGGAACAGGTCTATCAGTATGGAAACAGACTGTTTCACGGCAAATTTCCTGAATTTGATTTCTCACAAGGTAGGGGTATATATATATATATATATATATATATATATATATATATATGGGTGGGGCCACAGGGGCTCCAGTCCCAGCTAAAAGCTATTGGCCCACGGAGTGCCCCCTCCCTTGTCACTCACCGCCTTGAAACATATCATCATTAGGTAATGATTTAATTTAAGGTTTAAATTATGGTCCTTCTTAGAAACGTCTCGTACAACTTGTTTACAAAGACGAAAGAGTCATGAATAAATGAAACCAGGAAGCAGGTACTCGAGCACCTTCCTCGGTGACAGGTACAGCCTCGTCATCATCAGCTTCCCGAGGTTCTGCAGGTTCCAAACTTCAATTACCCCCACATTTAAATCGCAGATACCACACATATACTGTATAAACTTCTGTCCTGAGGCCTTGTCTATACATGACCACCGGCATGTATTATTATAGCGTGACGTTTCCTTTCTCTAGTTGGAGCAGGCCATCTTCAAAGGGGGACAATCCTCTGTGGCTCATTTGTAACCATTTGGTCACCATGAATTAATAAGTGAGATTAGTTCTCCAGTGAACAGTGGTTAATTCATTATTTAAATGTTTTCGTTCCTAGGGCTCTACAACCATTTATTAAAAGCCTATTAAACGTGCATTAGCCACATTGTCCCCATGGTACCAGAGCTTAATCTTCTATAACTGCTTCAACCCGAGCTTTTTCAAATGAATACTTTTTCTCATCACCTATTGCAAGAGTCTGGCTGTTATTTTAATCCCCATGAGATGAAACACCCCAGCAACATAAATTCTTTTACAAAAGACCCACCACAGGAGGACCAAGAAAAAGCATTAATTACATTTGTAAGACAAATTAAACCCTTTAGCATTTTGTGCAATAAAAAGCTCAGCACAGGCACGGGTGGGGGGGGGGGGGGCTCACCCTCCTCAGATGTCACTCCAGTTTCCACCTCAGCTTTCAAAGCCTCTTCGACAGGAGGAGGAGTCACCACCTCCTTTTCCTCCAAAGGAGCAGCCTCTTCCTCCTCCTCCTCTTCCTCAAATGGGGCAGCCTCTTCCTCCTCCTCTTCCTCCTCCAGCTCTTCCTCCTCCTCCAATTGCAGCTCTGGTTCCTCTTCGACCACCTCCGGCTCCTCCTCTTCAGCTATCTCCTCCTCCTCTTCCTCAGCTACAAACTCTTCCTCATCTATAGCCTTTTCCCCAAAGGGCTCCGCTGGGAGTAAAATCAGTGAAGAAAAGGCTCTTAACCTCAACCCTCCAAGCTAAAGAACTGCAGTCGATTGTCATGCAACTACGGCCCGCGGAACATACACAGCTAATGAGACGAGGATTCGGAAAATGCCCCTCTAACCACATCAGGCTCCTTAACCGGTTTAACATTCCAGTTGAGAGAAGTATATTCAAAATAATGTTAGCAAGCAAACTATACAGCCCGTGGTGCAGCTTCAGATTTTGGTCCCCATGAAACTATCACACTGGGCCCCCAACCCACACCAACCCAATTATACTCCAAATTTTTACTCAGGGGCCCTTGGAATCATCCTAACCCCACCCCCCCCCCCTTCATGGCACCGCTGCACTGTTGATGTGCAGAGGGGGAATGTAAAGCAGATAAGACCTACGTACCCGGAGGCGTTCTGCTGGCTTCCTGAGCACTGTGCTGGGCTGAGAATGCCTCCAGTTCAGGTTCACTTTCCACTGAGGGTGCAGAAACTACAGATGGGGGTTATGTCTCACTTGAGTAATCAGACAGACAGACATCATAGGCACCGTCAAGCGGGAACTTGGCAAAGCTACTGAGGCCTATAAACGGTCACAGAGCACCATGCCTCCTTCAGAGGTGGACATTTCATTAGAGAGACAAAGAAGAGGGTTAAAACTCCACTGACCAGCTGTAGGGTGCCAAAGCAACAGGTAACCATAGTCTCCAAATGAGCAACAGTTACTGATTTATCAGAGGCTTTAATCCGAAGCGACATGAGATTCAGAAAGCTGGGTCAGACAGTCCCACGGGCAATGGGGATTGTAGGGTCCTGCGGTGACAATCCTCGGGATTTGAACCAGCAACCCTCTGATTGCAGGCACCGAGCCACACACATTAGGAACTTTAAATATCGTCGTACTACGTTTTTCTAAGGTTTGACTCTGTCACAAAAACCTATTTAGTTGAGAACAGCAGCTACCTTAAAGGAAATGAAATGACAACCAGATGTTCAGAAACACCAGGCAGACGAGGGTAGTCTCCGTATCCTAAACTGAAACTAACGCACACAGGTTGTGTAGAGTTTGAGTGTAAAATCATCATTAATAATCACTACTAGCCAGAACATTGCGATTTATTTTAATGTATGTTAATTAGATTTGATGAGTTTCGTGATTGAATAAAGGGGGGTGGGGTAAGTTGAACGCAGGAAGTGAGGTACTGTATGCCAGGTTACCATGACTACTAGAATTTGACATTACAGCACTATTGACAAACCAACACCCACTGAGGAAGACGCCTATCTGAGTAAGCTTCGATCGATACAGGTGGAGCTTACAGAAATGCTTAACAGGCAGGCCATGCCTCTTTACAACCTGATAAACCAGAAGAGGAAGGCACTGTGGCTTTAAAATAAAAAAAAAAAATGATAATAAATTGTGCAACTGTGTAAGGAACGCAGTGGGTTAAGGGCCAAGTTCTGCTATGTTGCACTCAGTCTGCAACATCTCTCAGCATGTGGAAATACCGGGTGAAAAGTGTTTCTATGGGTCTCTCTTTATGTGACCACATGAAAGGTGTTGAACTGGGTTGGGGTCCACGAGACAGTCTGCAGGACACATCGCTTAAGGTCACTGCTTCTTTGAGGCAGAGCATCATACAAAACCAGGGCTACCTACTTGTAATTAGAGTATTGTTACTTCTCAGCTGTATAAAAGGTCTTTAACATGAAACTATAGGAGTCGCCTTAGACAGGCATTTGCAGTCGAGTATCGGGACTAGTGCAACCCTACGTCTTACCTGGTTCTGGAGGTTCCTGAGCGTCTTCTGAAGCTCTGCTCGCCATTGCCGCAGGTTTCTCCGTCAGCCCTGAATGTTCCAGAACCGCAGCGTGAAACTCATTGCAGCATCATTCATCATTACACCTAGACAGCTGTTGTGAAGGACGTTTCTCCTCTTGCGATTTCATAAAAGAACCAGGACTTTTACGGGTTAGAAGCGGCAAAACATCAATTAGCCATTTATTATTTTTTTTTTTTTACACAAAGAAAAAAAAATTTGTAGAACAAAGGGAAGCTCAGAATGACCAACAAAAACGGAACAAGCACAAATCAATGACTTTGGTTTACTTTTGCCTTTTTTTGCACAACCTCTACCCAAAAAAGTAAATGGAACTCCAAACATAAAACCAGGAGAGACACTTTTCTCGCCATGGGCATGTTAAATGTAGATTATATGGTAACTTTGAGAATAATCATAGTATCAGGAAAGAGGTTCGGGATTCACACAGTCTGCCTGAACACATGGTCACGATCTGCCTGAACGCATGGTCACGGTCTGCCTGAACGCATGGCCACGGTCTGCCTGAACACATGCCCCACTTAGAGCAGAAGAGCCCAGCATTTCCAGTTCATCACAAGGGTGATTCTGTCAAGTGTCAGACAAAAATCACTGGTAACTACACTGGTTTTTCCAGTTTCCATTCCCTGTAGATACTGACAACATTCAGTTCACTGGATCATTTTCAGTGAGGGGGGGAAAAAAAAAAAAAAAACTAAATAAACAACAGTCCATGAAAATCCCACAAGTTTATTTCTGAGAAATGTGTGTGTCGTGTTCTTCAAAAAGTAGAAATTGTTCTCCATTGCATAAAAAAAAAAAATTTAAAATGTTCACCAAATCTGCAATTCACCACTTATAACTGGCATTTGAAAACAGAATGACAGTACTTAAATGTTTAAGTTTGACACTTAAATATTATTTCAAGGGCCAGTGGGAATAAACATTACAAAAACTTACAGCTTTCTTACATGAGATTTCCAAAGATACAGTACAATGGTAACACTCCATAATTGGGACTAAAACTCACAAACACATTTAAGCTATACATAACATCCCCTCAGAGTGATACATCTGGCTTCCTGAGGGTAGCATGCATGTCAGAGGCAAACTATAACTGACAGGACTCAAAAACTTGAACAGAGAATTTTTTTTATTCCCATCCTCCGAGGAGCAAACGCCCGTCTCGGCGCCTCTCCCGTCCTCGCGACACCTTTAGACCTTTAGTTCCTTGCACGGGAACACCAGCAAGAGTTTTGTCGTAAGAAGCTCACCGACGTCATCTCTGGGAGATTCAGAGTCTCACTTCTTCCCGCCCTTGTCGGACTCCTTGGGAGTCTTTTTGGATGCTGCTTTGAGTAGATCCTTCGCGGAGATCTTCTCGTCCTTCTTGCTGGAGGCTTTTCCATCCTTATCCGCCTTTCTGCCATCTTCCTCCGGCACCTCGGTCTTCTCCGGTTTCTTGCTCGGTGGCTTCTTCTCAGCTTTCTCTTCCTTGTCCGGTTTAGCCTTCCTCTCTTCCTTGTCCGGTTTAGCCTTCCTCTCTTCCTTGTCCTGTTTAGCCTTCCTCTCTTCCTTCTCCTTCTCCTCCCTCTCCTTCTCAGCCTTCTCCTTTGCAACCCTCTCTTTTTCTTCCCTCTCCTTGGCCGCCCGCTCCCTCTCAGCCTTCTCCTTCTTGGCCTGCTCCTTCTCTATCCTCTCTCTCTTCGCCTCCCTCTCCTCCTCTTCCTGGAGCTTGGACTCGGCCCTCTCTCTGGCTCTCTGTGCCGCCGCCTCCCGCCTGATCTCCTCCTCCTGGAATGCCACCTTCTCCGCTTCCTCTTTGGCGACGATGGACCTCACCTCGGCCAAGGCCATCCTGGCGATCTTCTTGGCCTCGATCTTCTCGTGAATCATCCGTAGCTGCTCCTTCAAGGCTTCCTTCAGCTTCCTCCCGATGTTTCTTGTAGGGTGCTCTAGAGGGTTTTCAAATGGGTCTCAGCGACTGGAAAGCTGCCCCCCCAGTAATATGAGTGGAGGTCAGTGGGGTGTCAAGATGCAGCTGACTTCAGCTTGAACTCAATGCACCAAGTCCAGCTGAGGTAGGGGGTTAAGACTCAGACAAGCAGACCGTTCCAGAACCCACCATCCGGTGTGAATTTCACCACATTTTCATTCTATCAGAGCTGGTAAGACAGACAAGCGTATTCATCCAAGTAGTGAGTGCAGTGGCCAAATGCAGATCAGAGATATTAAGAATAATACAGTCCCACTTAATGCCAAAAAGCGGCCTCTTTGCAAACAGTTATTTCACTAAACCAAGCACAAGCCCACAAACAAAACTATTTCATAACCAACATGACACAATCATTAGTCATCAGATACTTACAAATGTTTTATTAGTCTGTTCAGGTTACAACAAGAGGCTGATGCATTCACAAATAAGCAAACAACTAAAACTAATGTAAAAGTAACAGAAAAACACTGAGACCATGAGTATTATAAAATAATTGAATAGATTATTTCTATGGCAAGTTATGAAAGCATGCAATAGTCATTTAGGACCAACAAACCCAACTGAAGATGCACCTAAATTCATCTTACTCCCAAATGCAAACAGTCCACAAAATACCTTTTGGTTTATCTTTCTTCAAAGTTCCTTCCCCTGCTTTCTCATCTAATGTTTTTGAAGGAAAAGGGAAGTTAAAAGAATAAAATCTACTAGAAGGCAAGTCATCTACAGCATGCCAAATACCTTTTAGACCAGAGGACGGATACTGGAACATCAAAACTAGTTTGGGTTAACAAAAACAAGTGCCACTTTAAGAAAAAGAAAAAGAAAATAACCTGAAACTTCAATAGCGATCATCAGTATGACACTCTTAACGTGCCGTGCATTAATGCGTGACATTCTTTTGCATAGATATCAAAAGAGATGTGGACAGCTTTGCCTCAGATAGGCTTGTTTTCACAAATTGCGCACCGAATTTTCTGTACTGGAAAGAGCAGTAACACTTGGTTGCATGATGTAACCTCTGCAAGCTGTGGCCTTGAAAGGCTGTTAAATAAGTCTCCCAGGTAGGGTAATGAATCCTTATTGACGAGAGAGAGACTCAGATCAGAATCTAACCAATGGGACAGGAGGATGCCAAACCTCTGTGGTCCAAGAAATGGTTCTGGGGGGGATGTAATTTACCACATGCAATCCATTACATATGCACCCTGCTCAGCTGTTTTTCCTTCATTCGCTGTCCACCACCTCACAGATTTAATCCAAATTGATAAATCCAGTTCTGTTCACACTCACACTGATTCCACACTGATTTTCCCTCATATACATGAGCACTACCATTCCAAATTTTAAAAAGAATTCTATTAATATTGTAAAATCAAATTTCAATCTGGAGATTATATTGCCCAAAATGCAACAGACCCCCTTGCTTAGCCTAGTCAGTCAGCACCACATTTTGAAAGTGTTAATATTTTTGATAACATTTAATATGTGTAGATACAATCTATCAGCGCAAATAGCAACACTGCAAAATAGCATAATACAATTAAGCAATACGGAGTCCTACAGTGAAATTAACAAAATGAAGAAGATTATCTGCAACTGCATTATTAACAGCTGACCAGAATGGTTCCGTCTGCTGTGTTTAGTCAAACAGAAAGAAACATATCACCACACTCATTTGATTCCTACACTGCAAACCGTATTCCCCAAAGGTCATGTTCTTTAGGGCCACGGAATTCTACATTATCGTTCAAGTGTTATTTGTAACATGTGGCTCCAAGGCTACAATTATCTCTGATCTCATAATGCAAACCAGAAGGATAGAATTTAATGAATAATATTCTTGTAAAGGGGGTCGACCATTCCCATTGGTCAAGGTCATTCTGCTGCGAGACCGTTCTGATCATGGATTCGGCAGTCTGGGGTTCAGGCTAACACTTGTATACGACTGTTTTTTTTTTTTTTACTGCAGAGAGTAAATTAACCAACCACAGGATGCCACATCTGCATCGTCTACATCACTGCGACAGACTGACTTTTGAGCAGTGGTGACATCGGCACACCTGAGCCCTAAGTAACAAACACCGAGTAAGCAGCTACAGCCTCAGAGGACTACGCTGCCTTCAAATAGGACATATTCATAACCCAAACATCTCATTCTAATACGTTAAGAGAAATAACCTTGCTGATACCTAGAAGGGGTACGGAAGACGTTTATTTTAGGGGGATGAAACAGGAATCCTGACCGAAAACATACAAAATAAGCATCAGTAATTGGTATGCCCACAATACGAAGCTTCATGAATATATAGACAAGAAAGCCCTAGAGGGAAGAAATGTGGTAGGTGATCATGACCTCCGAGGTGGAGAGATGGTGTGTATCTTGGGCATGGAAGCACTGTTAGCTCTTTAAACATGCGGGGTGAGATAAATCCAAGGAAAGCCAAGTCTTAACGTCCAGGTTAAGCAGCGCATCATGGTAACGCTTTGGCTGTTATTCATATTTGAGTACGGTTTGCAGGAGTTTGACCAAACAACTGCACGTTTCGGGGAAAGACAAGCAACGGACGAGACCGTTTAACAGCGTGTGAGTTTGGAGCGCCATGTAAACCTTTAGATATTCCCCATGGCTAATCTGACTGCCAAAAAACCCCTGGGGCGTGTGCATGTACAGCCGTACTGGTTCAGCCGTTCACTGTGTCTGACGGGAGGAGCAGCATTGTTGGGAGAGGGACAAAAACAAACAATAACAAACAACAAGCATCCCCTTTAGATTCATTTCTCAAAGAGAAAGTACTTAACCCAGAAGGAGCTGATATCGCTATTGATTTTTCAAGTCTAAGATCACACCCTGAACGCCTTCGCTCTGCGATGCACCAGCACCGTCCTCCTCGTCCTCCTCCGCTTTCTCAAACGGAGTTATTACGTCATAGAGAAAAGCCAGGAACCCATAAAACCAATCAGAGCCCTCCTCCGCTAATATACCAAGGACTTCCTGCAGGGAATCCGAACTCTCACTACTGCCATCTTTGGTCAGGCCTATGTAAACAGAGGGAAGAGAGGCAGAAAGAGAGAGAAACGAGAGAGAGAGAGAGAGAGAGAGAGGGAGGGAGAGGTAGTAATGCAGGAGAGAGATAAATATCGACGTTGCAAGTAAGTAGACATGGGAGAACTAGGCATTAACAAGTTAGAAAGCAAGATACAAATGTAACAGATACTCTATTATACAGAGAAAAGCAAAGGACAGTCAGGACAGGGTAGAATCTTTTCAGGGAAGCATGCAGAGAAGAGGTCAGTTTAAGGCTAGGCCCAACACTAATCACTGAGTTTAACGTCAAGTGAAAAATAACCTAGCTAAAAACGGGATGAGTTTCTTTTGTATTAAACACAAGGCTAGGTTTGTCTTTAATGACCCGATTAAATTTAATTTTTACCGTCCAATATGAGTGGTAAATTTCGTTTTGTTTTTTGTGGCTGTAGCTATTTTAACCGACATTACTGAATTCTTGCACACCGTGATTTAGGGGAATTTAATCTTAAAAGCATGCATCCTCTCCAGGTTGATTTAATAGCACTTCACAAGTGTCGATGTTAAGCATAAAAAAGGGATATGATACTTAAAAACAAAAGTAAACCATAAGTCAGTCATGCAAAATAAATAAATAAGTAAAGTTATTCAGCGCCATCAAACACACATGAACAGCAGTAGGTAATACTTGCCAAGAAGAACCCTGGCATCCTCCACGTCGAAATCGCCATCCCCGTCTGCGTCGTAGGCTCCGAGTTTCCCTGGAAGGGGGAAAACCAGTTAACGAAGTCGTTTGAATTGACCAACGGTGCATGTTCAAGGAAAGCTTTTGTGAAAGGGCACACATTTCAATCTGCACGTGCCCAATGGTCAGATAAGTTTGTCCTCATTATGACCAAACTGAGAACAGAGTATTCGTTACCTTTGGAAAGTGTCAATGATAATGCATGTATAATTATGCACAACTGTCTCTGCAGACTAGCTTTATAATGCAACTAGAACAGTGTCCTTTGAAATGCTTCGTAGAAGCTTACTGGCTGGTAGGAAACAATGCTTCAAGGTCTTTGTTTGGTTATTTTGAGCCTTGAACCGTGCAGCTATGGCTGACCTTGTTCTTGGATGGCTTCCGAGGCTTTTAATAGCCCTGAAAAGCTCTCAAACTTTCACCACAGACATCTTCCCTAAAACTGCTCTTCAGCAGAATATCAAAGGTCTTCATCGACCGCTCACCATGAATTCAGGATAAAGCTCTCTTAAGAGGCGCTTAATGTGTGGGAAGTGACTGAAAGTGTCAGTGCCTGAATGTGCTCTTTGCAACATCGTGAAGGTTTGGCTCTCCAAACGGAAGGCATTTTCAGCTGTTAATTTATGTTAATTTATGCAATTTACACATTTGCATGGCAGAGAAACAAGTCATACCTTGCAACACCTCTGAAATGTTATAGCGGAACTCCTTTGCTCGGGCTACATGCAGGATTAAGACAAAACAAAGACAAAATTAGACATTAAACCATGGAAAGATTTTAGTTGTTAAGGGGACCTTGTTACCGGTCAACAGAAGAGCCCATGTGACACGATGAACTCCGCCCACAAAGCACATCAGCAACACTCACCAAGCACGTCATCGTAGTCCACCAGCTCAAACCAGACCACTGCCACGGAGGTCCAGACTCCCAGGAGGGCCAGCACCATGAACCAGGTGAAGAAGGTGCTCCCAGAACCCCCTTCTGCTTTCTTCCCATTCTTATTGGCTGATGGTTGCCTCACCTCTAGAAACATAGAAAACCACAAGAACAACAAATGGGTGAGGACATCACCATGAAGAACAGTACTCTACAGGGTCCCGGCAGACATTATCAAGCATGACTTTCTATACTGTACCACAGAGGTAAACTACCCCAGTAGCTGTCCAGTAGTCCTTTTCTTTAAAGAAATGCTCATTCACAAAAGAGACGTGTGGCCTCCATCAGTTCAGTCAAATATAAACCTTCCATGTTTTTAGTCATGCCAGGGTATTATTTCTCAAGGAAGTCAACATAAAAACAAAAGCAATTCTGACAGCTGGACACCCAATCAAAAATTAAAAAAAAACATCAGCGAGCCACATCACAGAGCTGAGCTGAATGGACTCGTCACTGTACGTGCGCCGGAAGAGTGCTTTAGAAGAATAGGCGTTTAATGCATTAATTACCCAAGGAGGAGCAAACCCTGCAGGGGGACACCTTCCAAGCGTATAAATGAGTCACAAGAAATGAGGCATGTTGTGAAAGTCAACCGACAGGACAGCTCTGAGGATCTCACTCAAAACTTCTGGAGCACCAGAAGCAGGGCTTACAGTTTCCGCAGTTTTTAAGGTGTTTCTGGATTCTGACAAACAACCACAAACACTAAAACAAAACGTGCTTTCAAGTTCCAAAACCAAGCAGACAACAGGATTTTCCAAGATAGAAAGTGGACAAAGGTCATTAGGTGCATGAAAGTTTAGTCTGACAGTAACTATAAGGTTAGTTCAAAACTGAAATGCTCAGAACCTATGAAAAAAAAAAAAAAGAAGAAAAAAAAACCGGGAAATGTGCAATATGAAAGGATTCAGGATTCCGCGTCAAGCCAGCAGGTTATAAATGGCCACGTGAGCCGGATACGGGGTGGATCTGCTCATTCCTGAAGTGAGTCAGATACCACAAGTCAAGCAGTTATAAAACTATGCAGGAAGCTGAGCCTGCGCATTTCAGTAACCATCAGAAAAACTAAAATAATAAAACAAAGGTACCCCCCCCCCCAAGACAAAGTTAAAGGAGTGGAATTGACCACCAGCAAGAGGATGTCAGACAATTTACATTACGTAGACAATAACGTAATTTAGTCCTCAGTACATCCAAATTAAAGGCATTTAAAAAATCATTTAAGGAATATTGCCACTGGTGACCGAAGCCAAAAGTGTTGCTATAATTTGTAACACTAAGCCTCACTAAACTAAAGTCAGTTGTGCAAATTCCTAGCTATCAATACGTTACCTAGTGCTGCTGTTCAAATAAACAATTACATAACACTCATATATTTAAAGGTGGCCATTGCAAGGAAAACCTCATCCTAGCTTGGGGAAGTCTGCGGTTTCCTATTCCTCCAAATACAAAAACTGCCGATTCCGTCCAGTTTTCATTTATCTGTTACTATTTACACTACCATACAATTCTTCATCTACTAGAAATACATATAACTAAAAACTATATACATTTTGATTCAGTGTCACTCTGAAAAACAGAAAAGGACAGCAGGTCTAAAAACAAGAACACCTCTACTCCCAGCAAGGCACGCTGTGAAAATACCCAAGTAGGTTCAACTTCCAGGTTATTTATTTATTTTTTTAATAAAAATGGCTGTATCCAGGTCCTGTTCCCTCTGGCCATAGAAGGGAAGAGTGTTTTCAGGGAGAAGCTCTCCGGAGAAGCCGATGCATTCCCGGGCCTCCGAACAGGCTGGGGTATAAATATGATAGGATGCCAAGCGGGAATAATGAACAGGTGCAGGATCCCGTCTGTCATTAGTCAGAGAAAAGTCATGCAGGTTTTACAGGCTTATTCAAGGACTGTAGCGACAAAGGGTGTGAGGGCCGAAGTGAGGATCGTCAGCTGTCCATACGGAGACAAACGTGTCCGTGGCAAGACTCGCCCGTATCCATGGCAAAAATACTACGTAGGCCATGTTTCTAAGTACCGCGTCCGTGGCAAAAACTGGATCTTGATCACGATGTCCGTCAAAATTCGCCATCCACAGCTAATGAGACTGAACGAGACCCCAATCGTCCTCAGTACGAAGCACAAAACTGTCGCGACACGTTTAAGAATAGTTACTATGACAGCAATCACAAACGCAGACGTGCCCTGTACTTTTTCGCCCCCGACGGCACCGCCAGAGCACCACGCCAGCTCTCATGCACCCAGACACCCCAACACTACTTGTGATACTTATTGTTCGACGAACGTTTGCCAGCTCCAGCTCATAGCATCCGCTCTCCTCGGGCTGACGCTACCTGTCTCATCAGCCACGTTGTTCACTTCGGCGTTCGGTTCTCCCATCGCCGCGGGTTCATCCAGAACCATGGCAAAGATACGGCCACTCGAATCCCCCAATTCTGCCCCCAAATGCCACCATAAAGCGCCTGCCGGCGGCTCTTTCCGCAGCTAACTCAGCTAGAACCTGATACAGCTCTCCGGCGCCTCGGGAATATTTTTAGCCTAAGCCCCACCACACAGGCAAAAACTTATTTGGGCAGCGGTAAGGAGGGAGCTCTCAAGCTACGTCACTCTGCCATCCCAAGTCCTAGAAGGCAGACGGCGGGACACCCCGAGTGTAAAAACTGCCCACCCAGCAGGAAACGCTGAACGCAACCAGAGGCATGGCTGTCATTAGCTATCGACACTGACGGGTACGGGTCCCCCCAACCAGAACTACGAGAAGAAATGATTCTAGAAGCGTAAAAGAGGCTTTCACTAGGCTAACTGGGATGGCCGTGTCCATAAAAGGACTGCTCCAAATTGCACTCAGCACCATCTATAGACATGCCATTGTGGCGTACGGCCGCAAGTCTGTCGTTTATCTCGCCAGCGGACAGGGACTTCAGAGGGACACCACTGCGTTATCTGGGGAATTTCCTGCTTCCCGTACTGTATCCAACAGGGGAGACTGAAAACCATCCTCTAGTTTACATTAAAGCGACTGTCTCAGTTCGTTTTCAGCGACCACACCCCCTGCTTCCTAAAGAGTTGTGATTGGACAGTGACTACATTTCCCGGTGCCACGGTTTCAGCAAATACTTTTCAAAAGTGATAATGAGCCGATGCAGCGGAGCAAAGACGACCACTGCATTTTCGGTGCGATGTGGCACGATTTCATCGTTAAATTGTACGTTAATGTAAACCATTCTAATTGTTTTTCTGGATGGTACTTGAACAAGATGCAAATCAAAGAAATAATGGTTTTGCTTTTCATTGTGTCAGGTTCTCTTCACGACACCCACTGAAAAGCAATGCCTCTTATTCACTGCATTTCCACATGGCACAGTTTCTGCATGCGGCACGGTGCAAAACTATATGTCGCGTCGATTGTTTTTCCTCCCCGCGTGCCAAAGTTGTGTTTGCATTTCAAGATGGCACGAAATACACTCCAGTGTCTACAAATTACCTATGGCACAGTTAGTTGCTTGACCTGAAAGCTGAACACCAATATTTCGCGCTACCTCATTCAGACAACTTTTATTAGATAAAATAACAAGGCAAGTAATCTATGCAACACGATAAAAATAAAAGCCTAATAATTCATAGACTTCGGATACAAAGAATGAAGACCATGTGTTAGGGAGAGATAATGAGCATGCGCGTAAAGCACAAGCAAACATCACACAGATAACGAAGTAGAATACTAAGGACAGCGTTGAAGACATTTTAGAAAAACATCATAAATTCATGCAAAAAAACTTGAGGAAACGTACAAGTCAACAACCAACCACAAACATGGCAATGTTTAGTCCATTTATTAGGAAACTTGTCCAAAAAGCATAAATGCAGAACACACAGTTGCAATCTTTCACCACTTTACCTTCAATCTGGGAAAGGCAAAAGGAAGCCAGACTGAAATTCAAATGACCTCATGAGCAATAAAGAAATGATATTCAAATATAGGTGGACTTATGAGGTCAATTACAGCTGGAATGATTAATCAAACCCAGTGTTCACATTTATTCATTGAAGATCACAAATATCTCTATGCTCATATTAATAACAAACATCATAGACTAATAGTCTCTCCTTAATCCCTAATTTATTATTCCAGGATTTAAGTATGCTTTATTTATTTAGCCAGTTATTTTAGAACTTAAAGTGACTTACTGCACTGTATCAGTTTCCACTGTGATTTGCTAGGGATTAAAGGCACCATTAACTAGGGTGACCAGATAATCCATGTCAGGAAGGACACTGAGCTAGGACATTGTTTGTAAACTACCATTTCAATTAAAAAGACCTGTGGCCTGTACTAAGAAGCGGGGTTGCTGGTTTATGGGGGTAACTTGTCGGATTTAAGGTACCAGTTTAAATTGACTTCATATTCGTTTACTTACATTTTGCCCAGACTCCCTTAAATCCGACAAGTTACCCCGATAAGGCCGCTTCATAGTACAGGCCACTGGATTACACTTTAGCACTGAGGTCTTGCTGTGTGCTGATTGGTCAGTCTCCTATAATTATGCATGTGTCGCTAAAGTTAATGTGAAACAGCTGGATGAGTCTTTCAATCAAGGAAACATACCAGTCAGAGAACAATAACAACTGAACTACTTAGCCAAACAAGAGCCTTTCAGTATTTTGTAAAACCTGAAGTAGCCCAAAGTGTCCTCCCTGACATGGATTATCTGGGTAGCCTGCATTAACATCACGTTACACATAAACAATAAAAAACAATCACAACCTTGCCCAATTATTGCAGGAAAAAAAATAATCCAAACCCGTGTTTCTCCAGGTCCCCATTAGCACTCAAAGCACATCACTAAAAAAAACGAAACACGCCAAACAGATCTAAGGCTAGTGTTCATAATTTCTAACTGATACTTATTTATTAACACACTCCTCTTAAACTGTTTATTAAAATATTGCGCTTGTTCTATAAATCAGAGTCTTCCCACCCACCCATTGACTATGTGCACAAAAATTTCAGTGTTTCCCCAAATACTATACGTGTATATGTGAAAATAAAAACTTAACTTCTTGACATAACTGACCACAGAAAGACACGCATATTTAAGCGTTCGGACCCTGCATGCAAGCCCAGAAGATGGCCACGCGTGACCCCTCCTACACGACCTTAAGAAAATTGGGTTAAAAACCATGACCAGGCATATGATCACCCAGTGTTATGCGGACCGACGCCACGGCAAGCCGACTTTTACTAAAGCCATTTTAATGCCTCATGCTGAACAACGTGGTGGCATGGGGCAGCAAACTAAAACAAAATACATCCCTACTAAAGAAAGTAGGGACCTGAAGCGAAAACGGGACACCCAAAAAAAACAGCCTCACAAATAATTTAACTCCTTTCTTGCAGCCTAATGAATTTCACGGGCCTTCTTCACTGGAATCAAAGGTTGAATGGATTAATAAAAAACTATGTGTATACCAACCTTTTTTTGTAGGTGCCCTTGTGGTTTTCTTCGTGGCCATTCTGATGTTGATGGTGGAAAATATTAAAATTCTATTACTAAAGCCAGACTCTAAATTCTAACAGTGACGAATACCTAAAAACCCAAATCCCGATTCCCTTAAAATGCAAAGCTCAGTGCAACTCACGTCAGATGATGAGTGTCAGTGAACTCGTACAATCAGAAGGCTCCGTCTATTAAAGTAAACGGAGAGAAGGTCATATCGAGCCAATAGCTGCAAGGGGGCGGACGCCTTATTCAATCGTGTGGATGGTAGTGACATAGACCCGCCCCTCGCGTCTTGTTTTCCAGCACTGGAACGTGGCAAAATGGAAGATTCGCTGATATCGCGAGATTTCGGTGTTGAACCCTAAAATAAGTCCTGGGAAAGTGGTGGTTTCTGAGCTGTTCTGGCTGGTTTCGTGTGCTGGTTATTCTTCTGATTTTTGCAGAAATGCAGCCTTCCTGATTCCTAGAATTCAGTCTGCGTTTAAGAAGTTAGCATATAAGATAATATTCTGTACAAAATACACGATTGCCGCATACGCGCGCACTCTCACGGGAACAGCAGCCCAAGCGCAAGTTGCCCGTGAGCAACGCCTACCGTTTGCTATGTGTATTGTACTTTTAGCAGAATATCGCTCCAAAAACGAGTGTCAAAAAAAATTATTTTCTACAAATGTAACAAAATGCCATTAGCGGAAAAAGAACAGGTTGCATTAAAAACTGTCCGTCTTACAACCAGGTGGTATGGAGGGTGTTTTTTAACAATATACAATAAAAAATGTAATAAAATTTAAGTAATACCAGTACCTATTAAAATATCTGTCAAAATCACCCATCAAACTCAGTGGAGGGGCTCTAAACAAAACCTAATATCTGATTGGTTACATTGCAAATTCTGACTCCAATTCTGTTGGAGTCAACCGCTCCACCGAGTCCGTTGATGAGAAAATGATCGTTTCTGGAGACGTGGTATAAGTAATAAATGATACTTTATTACCGTTACCAAAGCTTTGGGGAACAGTCACTCAGCAATCTTTCATGCGTCTTGTGAGCTGCTCTCCGAACAACAGGTGGATACATCCTTTATAGGCAAAAAAAGTTGCAACACATCAGCAAAGAATTGCGACATATCAGCATATTCATTATTGAGCATCTTGTGATCAATAGGGGGAGGTGACTGGGCAGTGGAAATTAGTCTGTGGTCACCTTGCTATCGGTGATCATCAGGGCAGGGACGGCTGCAGGTGGTAGAATTTAGACTGTGGATACCCTGTTATCAGTGACCATCAGGACAATACCAGAATTAACCTTCCCTGCAGCCGTCCCCTGAGGCTGTTATCACCCTTGCATCTCACTTGTCCCTCAAGCCCCCCTCCCCGTGGCTATTTATATTGTTTTACGTTGCAACAGCTTACTTCTCAAACTTAGATCTATACCTTAGTTTGAGCCTCTTGCGACATACTAGTTCCGCACTTTAAGTATTACAGCCTGCTACAGAATCATTGCATCATCAGAAGTTTGAAATAGTAAGGTCATATAATAATCATACAATTATATATATGCATCTTTCTCCACACGCGATGCTCACGCTTGGATAGATGGATGGGTGGGTGCGTTCGACTTGGGGTTAGGTCTGTCTGCAGCTGACGTGGCGTGGAGCGAGATCTGCCGGCGGCTGCAGGGGTGGAGTATTAACTGACTACAGCCAAGTCAACTTGTGCGAGACCTGACTGCAATGGCAGCACGGCCAGAAGGGTGTCCTATATCCCCCGTCTTCCTGACCTGTCTGCCCCCCTATAATGTTTGTGTATGTATGGTCGGGTTGATGGCCAGTTTTTTTCGCTGGTACTTGTGACTAGTGACATGGTGTATTGCAACAGCAATAAAGGGTTTCATCATCATCACCATCAAATATACAATCTAAAATATAATGCAATAGCGAGGATGTACAGACTAAAGTTATTTGTGCAATAAAGTGAACATGTGCAGTATATGTGCATTCCAGTACAAACGTAAAGACCAGAATTAGTTTGAATTGAGAAGCCTTATGGCCTGGGGGAAAAAACTCTTCCTGAGTCTCTCTGTCCTGGACATTAGGCAACGGAACCGTCTGCCTGAGTTCAGCCTGCGGAACAGGCAGTTTGCGGGGTGTAAGGAGTCCTTGATTATCTTAGTACCTCTGGACCTGCAGCGTTTATTGTAGGTGTCCAACAGGGAGGGCAGAGGAGATCTGACATGACGCTCGGCCGCCCCGATCACCCTCTGCAGGGCTTTGCGGTCCTTTAGAGAACAGTTCCCAAACCATACCGTAACCATACCGGCTGAGAGGTGCTGCACAATCTGTCTTAAGTTGTCTTGCTCTCGCGAGGTTTTTGTACCATGTGATATGGTGACGCGTGGTGACGTTTTGCAGCGCCTGCTGAAGTCGGACAAAAAAAAATAAAAAATCTAACCTGGTCAACTTCTAACATTCACTGAATTTTTGGAAAAATTTCAAATATCCGTAAGACCAAAGGAATATGCTGTGGTTCTTGATGCTGTCCCCACAGGTGCATTACATCCTCTAAGGGACTTGTTTGACTGATGTGCATGGGGATGTAACTCTTACTCACGTTTATATTGCGGAGAAGGATGTTGTAAATAAGATTAGTAACAAAGTTATTAGAAATGCTATGCTCACGGTTACACTACCTGCAGCATGATTCTTTTGGTCTTCTATCTTTCATGATATAAATTGGAAAAAAGTATGGAGTATATTCATAGTAAATACTGCATCAGTAACAAGGTTAGAAAAGTGTCATATAAATTGTTACATAGGATTTACCCGGTAAAACAAGCTTTAAGTAGATTTAAATTGGATATTGATAACACCTGTGATTTCTGTGGGATAGAAGAGGAAAATGTTATGCATATGTTTTATCACTGTGTATATACAAGATTATTCTGGATAGATATAAAACAGTTTATTAAGAACAACGTAAAAAAGAAATGATATAGTGATTGCCCTATTTGATGTATTTATTTTATTGGAAAGGTAGTAATTTGATGCTAAACAATGTCTTTGTTATTGACTTACTTTTGTTATTAGAAAAAATTCATATTCATAAAGTAAAGTGGGCAAAAACCAAACCAAACTTCACATATTTTCTGGTGGAATTTACACAATATGTAGAAGCCATTCGGAAGTATGAAAACAAAAAAGCAAAAAAACATATCAACTTAAGTCCTTCCAGTGTATGTGATATGTGTGTGTGTGTGTATATATATATATATATATATATATATATATATATAAAATAAAAAATTATTATTTTTTTTTTTTCTTCCCCTTTAAAGGGTTAAGGTTACTTTATTGTCATCAACAGCTTTATACAAGTACAAAGTGTGATGAGACAACATTTCCCCATGGCTCCGGTGCAACATCTAATAACACTGAACATCACATACAACAGGGCAAAAAAGTGCAAACAGGCAACACAACAAAGTGCAACGGGTGCGATCACATTACAGTACACAACAAGTTACAATGAATATACGGAACAATAAAAGGACAGAACAGTACACAACACTACACAACACTCCAGTGTTTTTGAGTGGGGAGCCTTAGTGACTGAAATTGCACATGGTAATAATATTATATTGCACACGGTACTATTGCACTGGTTACTGTATTGTACAGAGTAACCATGAAGTGCAGGTATGAGGTATTTCAGAAGCGCTATGATCTAAATTTAAAGTGTGTTCAGAGCCCTGATGGCTTGTGGAACAAAGCTGTTACACAGTCTCGTGGAGGCAGAACGGAAGCTACGATACCGTTTGGCAGATGGTAGGAGTGAAAAAAGTCCATGTAATGGATGGTAGTGATCCTTCACTATGTTTCTGGCTCTGTTGCAGCAGCGGGTCTTGAAAATGTCTTTCAAGTGAGGTAGGGGCACCGATAACCTTCTCTGCTGCTTTCACTATCCGCTGCAGATAGTTCCGGTCCGAAGCCTTGCAGTTCCCAAACCAGACAGAGATGCAGCTGGAGAGAAGGCTTTCGGTGCTGCTGGTGTAGAATGTCTTGAGGATCTGTGGTGGGAGGCGCTCTTTTTAGTCTTCGCAGAATGTGCAGCCGCTGACGAGCCTTCTTGGCTTTAGAGGAGGAGTTGAGGGACCAAGAGAGGTCCTTCATGATATGGACACCCAGGAACTTGGTGTTTTGCACCCTCTCGACAACAGCGCCAACGATGGTTAGAGGTGTATGCACAGTGCTGCATCTCCTGAAGTCAATGATTATTTCTTTTGTTTTGTCCACATTTAATGAGAGGTTGTTGTTCTTGCACCAGTCTGCCACTCGTCCCACCTCCTCTGTATATGCTGAGATGTCATTGTTTTTGATGAGACCCACCACAGTCATGTCATCTGCAAATCTAATGATGTGGTTTGAGCTGAGCTCTGCTGTGCAGTCGTGAGTGAGTAGCGTGAAGAGCAACGGGCTGAGCACAATGCACCTGTGCTCAGTGTGATAGTGTTGGAGCCGATCCGGACAGACTGTGGCCTGTCAGTCAGGAAGTCAAGGATCCAGTTCACTAAGGGGGTGTTTAGGCCCAACCCAGGGCTGGACTGGTAATCTGGCATACCGGGCAAATGCCCGGTGGGCCGACGCACTTGGGGGCTGGTCGATATAATATGATTTTTTATTTTTTTTTAATTGGCCAATGACCGGCCCATAAAGCAGGGATAAAGCAGGATGGAGAAGCAAAAGCGCAAGGGCAAGGGGGGTGCGGAGAAGTTGCAGGCCAAAAAAATGACCGCAAGGATGGTGTACTTGTTGGTTGTGTCCGACCGATTGTGGTGGGCCGGTCTGAGCAAAAATGCCAGGGCCCTTTTTTGTCCCAGTCCAGCCCTGGCCCAACCCACTCAGTTTAGGTGACAGTTTCTGAGGGATGATGGTATTGAATGCTGAGCTAAAGTCAATGAACAGCATCCTCACGTGAGAGTCTTTCTTTTCCAAGTGGGTCAGTGACAGGTGAAGTGCGGTGGATATGGCATCGTCAGTCGACCGGTTCTGACGGTAGACAAACTGGAGGGGGTCTAGAGAGCTGGGAAGATTGGCTTTGATGTAGCCCATGACTAGTCTCTCGAAGCACTTCATGGTAATCGGTGTTAAGGCCACGGGACGGTAGTCATTCAGGCAGGATACTGCTGATTTCTTCGGAACTGGAACGATTGTGCTGGTCTTGAAACATTCTGGGACAACAGCCTGTTTCAGGGAAGTGTTAAAAATGTCCGTAAGAGTGTCTGCCAGCTGCTCTGCGCACTCTCTCAGCACTCGAACCCGGGATGTTGTCGGGGCCGGCAGCTTTCCGTGGGTTAACTCTGGATAGGGTCTGTTTCACTGCATCTGTGGTCAGGCAGATTACCTCCTCTTCCGGGAGCGGAGCAGATTTCCTGGTAGGCTCAGTGTTGAGTGCATCGAACTGATTGCATTATCTATGTCTACACATATATACCCCTGGCGGTGTTCATGCTCATGTGATATGTTTCATACATATATCATTGTACCTTATGTTGATTGCTGAATAAAGAGGGAAAAAAATCTAACCATGATGCATTGCGTCAGGACCAGAATGCATTGCTTTAAGCCAGCGCTGTAAGCGGCTGCATGAAGTCAAACGCACCCATAGTTTGTCCTTAATTGATGGTTAAGTTTCTCCACCTGAGGCCTGTTTCCCTGCACTGTGCTCATTGGTTAAATGTCTTGGTGATTCACACCTGCCTTTTGTTAGTCCTCATTCTTTGTGTATATAAATGCCTGCCTTTGTCCTGTCTCTCAATCTGCTATTATAAATGTTACTGTGTGTTTAGTCCTCTGGTTTACTGCTGAGTTCCTTAGCGATGCTTTATTTCGTGGTTTTCGTTAATTCAGTAATTTTCCTTGTTTTCTGACCCCTTGTGGTGCTTTCGTTTTGTAGTTTTACTCTGTTCTCAGTTTCTTTAATAAACCCTTTTTGTCTTGGAGCCGCTAGTGGATCGTCACCTTTTTCCCCGCCTGTGCCGTGCCGCGCTGTAACACACCCCTAGTGCGCAAGTGCATGAGTGCGTGTATATCTGTATGTCAGTGTGTGTGACTGCGGTTGTGTGGTTGATTTTCCAGATTTTTTTTTACGTTTGAATGATTTTTTTAATGTTTGAATGTTCGTGTGTGCACTTCCTATTCACTCACATTCACTGGTGCCTCGACTGTCCATTCATAGTATGAAGGGTAGGAAATGGCATAATTACTCTAACGTTAAACGAGACAAACATGTTCTGCAAAGTGGGCTTTGAACAGTGGACGCTGGGGGCCAATGGACACATCTTGCATTTTTAGGTTACCTATGTATGTACATGTTTATTAATTATTGTACTGTATCCATATAATGTGCAATAAGACAATACATACATGGGTTAATAACTAAGACAAAATAAGACACATCTATAGTAAAGTGCTTAGAGCAGTGGACCGCTATGACAGTGCACACATCTCCAGGGCTCTCAAGTGTCACGCATTGAGAGTGACAGTCACTCTTTTCAGTCTTTTGTCGCGCACTCCCGCCACACATTGTATTTCTCACGCGGAAAAATAATTTGTAGGTTAATATGCCGCAGAGCCCAATTTTTCCCATGCTTCCCGCTGGAGTCTAATGGTGCGTTCGTTTTTCTCTCGGAACTCGGAAATTCTGAGTTGAGTGACATTACGTCCGACAATCCCCCATTCGAGATACCACATCTCGGAACAAACATGGCTGCCTCCTTGAACACGCTGCTGTGTGTTGTAGCTTTATATTTTAGCAGATTTGGAGTAAGATTATTTTTTCCGAGAGACAAACAAACAAGAAACACGAACTAGTCAAACCACATTAAAAGCTTTATAAAATATTTTAGTACATTCATAGCGATATTCTTTTTTCGATAGGCAAACAAACTACAAACAAACCAAAGACACTAACAAGTCTGGTAAAAATCTGATATTGCATGCTAGGATACTGTTTACGGTCATGATATGGTATTCTCTAAATCGAATACGTGCAATTACATTTGTAACTATTAATAAATTTAACAAAATAAACATTTTTAAAGATTTATAAAATAGAATTACTGTTGAGTGTGTAAGCCACTATGTTGAAATCAGGGACGGATTATGGGTTGTGTGGGCCTCTGGGTTTGTCCTTTGGGCAAAAGCCCAAGAGCCTGTCACTTACCAGCCAATCAAAAAAAAGAAAGGGCCTACACAATAGCCAATCAGAAAATAGTACTATTGTATCTGGGTAAAATACAACACAAAAACCAATGAAAAGGCATGCTGTGGAATGTCACTCTTGCCTGTCTTTAAAACTTGACAGCCCTGCATCTCAGATCTGGTACTCCTATAAATCTATATATTGTACATTAAGCACAGTCCACTGTATAAAAAGCTCACTTTGATCGTACATGTCTGTCTCGAAAGACAAAGGAATCTGTCTAAAGCAGCCGTAGGGCGGCGACAAATGTGAAAAATGAATCGAGAGTAAGATTGTGTGATAATGATTCGCGTGGATAATATCCCCAAAAATCCTACGCCGGTTCACCGAGTCCGTGTACATTTCTGCTTAGACCGCTTCCGCGTTTGATACGCAGCATTTTCTGTTTGTAAATGAAAATGAAAGTATTTTAATGCGGGTCTTTCCATTTTGTCAAGAAACACGGATACGATTCTGTATTGCAAGGTAAGATACAATTTAAAATAAAATAAGCTATATTTGGGAGTATATAGTATACTTCCAAATATAGCTTATTTTATTTTACTACTCCCAAATAGAGTTTATTTTATAGCAGATGCTATATACTGTTTCTCAAACTAGTCCTGGGAGACACACACACACCTATATAGCGGCCGCACCTGTTGCATGAAGTAGCTACTAGATATTATGTATGTATGTTACTATTTACCCTTCGTGTTCATAGAGACCCCAGCATCAGTCATCTGGTCTAGATCGGCCCAAAAATGGGGGGAGCTGCTTCTGAAATTACCCCCCCTGTGGAGTGTAAAACAAAGAGAACTGAGAGGTAAGACAGAACCTGTGTGTTTGTACGGCTTTACACACGGTAATAAAAAAATATTCTCGAAAGAGAGAGTAATCTGTCTTAACTTAATTCACTTCCTCGAGACCTAACTGATTCAGGTCAGATGATTTATGTTTATCCTTAATGAAATTTATGAAATTTAATTTCCTTCAAGAATTTACATCTAATTGTACTCCCTGGACACCGTGCTCTGCTGCCACCTAGCGCTGATTTTTCGATTTTTCACATCCTTATGGTGCGAGGTGATTTTCTGAAAATGCGCTAAAATAAAGTTAATATTTTCGCCCCCCCCATTCAGAACATTATCGGTATTCAGTCCAGTAGCCCGTCAGGGATTTTTTTTTATTGTTAACTTGGTGAAATTTATTGTGGGGGACCCCATTTAAGGCTGAATTTATATAATATCAAGCAAGAACACGCAAGTCTAGTAACGGAGGCTGTAACAATGATGCTAAACCTTTCATACTGGGATCTTCATTTTAGGTGAGACACTTTATTTCACATTAAAGCTGAATGTAAACAAGCATGTTTGCATCAAAAGCTTCACAGCATAACAAAGTACATGAAGACAGAGCAGAAGGTTAAACAGCTGAAGATTTAATGTGACCCTGTCCACAGTATATGGATTATATTTATATAATGAGGATCTTTCCTCTCACTGTCCACAGTGTCCTGATGGAGAGAGCAGGCTCACCTGTACCCAGCTGTGTTTCCATGAACAGTGACTGGTCAATGGACCTACCAATCCACTTCAGAGAGGGACCTTTTCCTACAGATCAAAGGTAAATATACATTAAAACATTGTTTAAAACACTCAGACTGTCAGTCAAAAGACATACAGGCAAACACAAGCTACAAGAAAAGAAACTTCAAATTTCAAATTTTTTAAAAACTTGCAAATCCCATCATTTTTGAAAATGTAAACAGAAGTTTTGTCTTCTGTATAAATCATGTCTGAGGTAAAAGGATGATGATTACTGTAAAGACTGACTTCTTGCGAGCTGGAATTAGAAGGTCGATTGAAAAGTGCATTTTAAATGTCAATCCTCAGCATGCAGCTGGAAAAAAGCTACTGCTCTATATTGACTAAGCATGACTGGACAATAGACTGGGATGGATGTTTCTGCTTTGATAATAAATAGATTCTCAGGGGGTCCTCAGCTCTGTTCAGACTGAGGCTTCAGTTTGAACATGTTTAATGGAACAGTGTCTGTTACTAATTAGCTAGTTGTTATGGGATCGGGGGATGGTGCAGGCGAGGAAAGGATGACGATCCACAGTGCAGCTCCAAGATGACAGGGGTTTATTTATAACAAAACACAGAGCAGAAAATAAGGGAACCACGAGGGGTCAAAAGGCCATAACAACAAAACACAGGGGAACACTAGTAAAGAGCAGCAATCCAGGGAGCAGAACTAAGGGGAAAATAACTACACAGGAATCCAATACACACAGGAACAAAGCACAGGATCAACAGCATGTGATACAATGACCAAGTGAGGGAACTGACCACAGGCAGGCAGTAAAATACACAGATCATGGGGACTAACAAAAGGCAGGTGTGAGTACTCAACACAATCAACCAAATCAGAGCAGACACTGGAAACAGGACACAGGTGGAATTAACTAACAATTAACAAATAGAACTAAGGGGCTATGAACCTGGGACCAGGGAAAACACTTGTGAGAGAGAAATTGACTAGAGGGATATTTTGTAATCAGTATTTCATATGTACTTTATACAGCCTGTAACTGATGGGTCTGACCACCTGCAAGCAGCCCCCACTCACTGTAGCCTTTTGTGATTTTCCTGCTCTGTCTGATAAACACACTCTAAACCTGCATTTCTGTTCTCTAGCCTGCAGTTCTGGGGGGTATTCCAGAAAGCAGGTTATGTGACATACCCGGGTAAGTTTAAGGGTAAGTTAGT